CATAATAGTGTTTGGAGGGAATTTGTTGGTCGATGAATGGCCATACGAATTCCACCAAATGGTCTCGAGAACACATTGCAGTACAACTTCATGGGGAAAAAAAAGAAAATTACTTGATGCCTATCCTGAAAAAGAACGCCTACCCCCGAAACTTTATCGGAAGATGCCTATCCTCTTCATCACCAACACTGACAGAAACTGCCAAATGCATCATCTACACCAATTCCACCAAGTGGTCTCAGTAATCTTGTCGTGATATCTGATAGGGTCTTTATGTTGATTAGGATGATGCGTTTTTTTGATTTCTATCGATGACTTTTTAGTTGATGATGTACGGGATAGGCATCTTCTGACAAAGTTTCGGGGGTAGCTGTTCTTCTTTAGAGTGGACATCAAGTAGTTTTCTTCCTTTCTCTGTGAAGTTGTTGTAATGCAGTGCAATGTGTTCTCGCTCCTCTGAATAGAGTCTGTACGCCACTAATGTTCTGCATTGTTGGGTTGTTGCTACTATAGTTGTAGTTGCAGTACTGACTAAAACATTCAGGAATGGTAGTTGGTTGTTCGACTCCTTCTTTATTGGGAATTTGATATCATCAGTGTAAACGTTATTGATCAAATTGTGAGTGTTTTCTGTAGCATCTTTCTCAATGATGACAAAAAGTATCGTCTACATAACGAATCCAAATTTTCGGTTAAATCACAGGTAGAGTGATGGCCTTCATTCTCTCCAGGAAAATCTATACAGTCAGTCAAGAACACAACAATCAAAGGAAACAACCAGTCACGAACCAATTCGTCAAGGCCAGCTAATAAATCACTCATGCAAAGTTACTGATAACTCACTTCCTACTGAAGTAAGTGCTGATGATGTCGTTTAGAAAGACGATGAAAGCTGCACTACTAAACAACCCAGCTAACACAATACAATGCAAACACAACTATCCACCTGAGCTACAAATATTCTCCACTATTTCAAACGGACATTTGGAATCCAAGAATAACAATAAGGTAATGGTAAGCGACTCAACGTAACACAGGATTGATAATTACAAATCTTAATCAAAATGAATGACAATTTATACACATCTGATTAGACAGAAAATTATGGGGCTGTGGAGAAGCAAGGGGACAACAAACGGAAATCTGTGTCAAAGGAGGGACTGTCTAAAAGCTAACAGGTTACATGAAAAACTAGAAAATCATTAAGTGATAAGACAACCAGTAAATAATTAATGAAGAATTGATGCTATCAAAAGAAAAGGGAAGACTTTATGCATACACAGGCAAAAAGTTATCTACAGTTACCAAGGTAAAGAAAGGTTAATTACAGTCTCCTTCTGAGTACATAGGTCAGGTTGAAAATGTTTGAAGTCGACAGCATCCACAAACATGATGTTCTTTGTTTGTTGATTATCCTGAAGGACTGAGAAACATCTATATGATGTATTGTTTCCATCAAATACCTGGTGATTTCACTGGTAAATACCTCGCTACCATTCAGACAGATTTCTCGCAATATGCTCATAAAATCGAGTAGGGGCCCCTTGTCGGTCCATCCTATGTACTTGCTTCCATAAGCCCAAGTGAACTGACATACACAGATGGAGGTGACACGAGATGGGTATTTGCCTACTTTCGACTATGTTATTGGGCATACTGTACTAGAACTGAGATGAATCTGGCGACAGGGAAGCTCCTTCTGAGTGCCATTTTTATTCTTCTGTCTATTTTTTCACATGTTTCACCACTGCTGACTACTAAGTGAAAGAAAACAGGCTTCTCTATTCTCCATAAGAGCCATCTCAATGATATCGAATTTTGCTCCCAGTTTATCTTCTGAGCATAGGGTTCTTATCCTAGTGAATGGCGTCCAGACTATCATTATTATTATTTGTCCCTTGGATTCCTAGTGGAACACACTGCTTCAGAAGTACGTCCTCACTTCATTTCTTCTCTCCAGTATTCTTAACCAGGCTCAGCAACTGCCCAGAAGCTCTCATTTTTTCTTCATACCATCTCCTATGTGTCACCTTCGCACTCCCAACTCGTCATTTCCCCTTTGGATTCCACTCGAGGGCCTCGCCTGGTGAGTCATGTCTCCAAATAGTTCTCTCAGTCTATACCCAATCCAATCCATCTTCATTTTCTTCTTCTGCATATTTGTAGGTCGATGGGTTCTTGGTTGGTTCGTTCCCAGAGTTCCTTGTTGCTTATTGTTTCTGGCCATCTGATCTTCAGTATCGAGTGTAGGCGACAGCTGTTGGTGAATGTCTGTAGTTTGTTGGAAATGCCTACCGTAACGCGCCAAGTCTCTCAACCATCACATTAAAGCACTGACTTCACGATTGTGTCGAAAATCCAGATCATATTGTTCATACTGAGTGCAGCAGCTTTTCACACTCTTTTCAGGTTGAATAAGGCGTTTCCTCCTTTTCCGATCCCGGTTTTGACATCCTCATCTTGGTCTGTGCAACCTGCAGTCGAAATGATGCTACCTAGGCATGTATGTATGTATGTACGTAAGCATGTGTGTATGTATGTACGCAGGTAAACAGGTAGGTAGCTCGGTTGGTTATTCATTTGCTTCGTTGGGGAAAAAGACAATTTCCTTCAGATTTCTCCGTTCATGGTGATTGGTGCACGCTGTAGATGTTGTTGTTTTGGGTTGGGTATCTTCATCACCTCTATCTTCTCCACTTTAACCTGAAGCAACTTCCGTCTTTGCTGCCTCACTTCGATTTTCTGTTAACTTCTTAGTTTCCGTATGTACATATTCCAGTTTGTGCCACTCCAAACATCAGACACAAATCATCATGGGTGAAATCCAAATCTTTTAGGCTCTTTTATCGGTTAGTCAGAGTATGCCCATCGCCTCTCTCCTCACAGTTGTCAGTTGCATGATCCAGTCCACTAACTCAACTCAACTCAACTCCAGTCCAGTCCAGTCCAGTCGACCACAATCGGCAAGATCATCGGTGATGGTAAGCAACCTTGTCCTGTCTTACTCCTGTCTTCACTTCACTTCTCTCACTTCACCTCAGAGTCATCACTGAGCTTCCTTCCCATTGTGAATCACTCGACATGTAGCATCATCATCACATGGAATATAGCTACTGTTCAGAAGAGGTTGATAAGGGTTTGTGGCACTGAAACCCTGATGTTGAAGCATCTGCCTGCCAAATTACTTCTCGATAGACGCCTCCATTGAAGGCCTTTTCGATGTCGATGAACTTGAGGTACCGGTATAGTTGACTGTCGTTCTATACTCTGTTCGATAATGATGCATAGCGTAGTGTTGCAATTTCATTCACACATCACTTGTGCTTCCTGAAACCAGCCAGCAGGCCAACCAGCCTGTTCCGATTGTAATCGTGAATGCAGAGTACTCTTTTGTCTCTCCAGGATGATGTGGCTCAATATTTTGCTTGGTGTGGACATGTGCATGATTCCGCCCCAGTTCTTGCTCTTGCAAACACAAAGGTCCCCTTTCTTTGAGAGATTGACAAGGTAGTCCTTCTTCCAATCGGCACGTAACTTTACTTCCTTCCTCCCTTCCTCCCTTCCCCCCTTCCTCCCTTCCTTCCTTGCAAACCTTCTGCGATGGTGGTGTGATCATATCGGCTGTTACCTCTCCATCTGTTTTCAGTCCTCCTGGTGGAAGTTCATCTGGTCCTGCTGCTCTTCCGGATTTCAATAACTTTATGGCGTGGGATTGAGTACTTCTCCTTTTGTCGGAGGGTTTATGTTCACTGATAGTTGTGTGTGTGGGATGCTGTTGGTATTTCTGGACGAGTTGTATGCAGTTGGTGGTGATGGTGTTGGTGATGCTGGTGGTGTTGGTGTTGGTGAATTCAAGTGTTTTCTGAGGTGGTCAGCCCATTGTTTCCTTTGTTTCTCGTCTTCGCTAACTAAGTTTCCTTCACTATCTTTCATCTGTGTTGATCTAACACCGTCTCATGATGATGTATGTTGTAAACGACTGAAAATGATGGACAATGGAATTATACACTCTTAAGTCACTGTTTGACAAAAAACGCCTTTATTAACCGTGCAGTACTAATGCGAAGTGATCATTGAAATTAATGAAAATCTGAACTAAACGAAAGACAGCACAGTTTTCTCGCCTGGGCTTTACCGCCTGAGTTATGAGACCTGACTGTTGACTAGATTTTTATTTCACATTGATCAGTAAGTTTTTTGCCATTGTCTGTAGTCTTTGTAGATAAATAACAGTCTTAGCAACCTTGTACAACACTTACTAATATCAAATACGACACAGTTTGAACACCAGTTCTAATAACTATCCATTACTGTTGTCACTACTGTCGAAATGCCTAGCCTTGATGACATGACCTGAAACTGGCCAATATGCTTAATTATTCCGTTATTTGCAATGATAGACATTTAGTTAGATAATGTTGTTACTTGTATTATCCAATAGGATGAAACGTGAGTCTAGCTGGATTTTGCTGCTAGTCACTAGTCATTACTGATTCACTTAGATAGATGGATAGTTGAGTGTGCTCACGCAGACATGCACACACATGTACACACATTGAATGAACAAACATCAGATGAGTATACAAGCGTCTTAATGTAACCAACTGTAAATAAGTAAAGTTTTTATTATTGTTGACAACAAACAATAACCATAAGCAATTAAAATCATATGATAAGTTAGTTTCTAGTCTCTTATTGCTACAACAATTATAGATAGATAAATAGATGGATACATATGTATAGAAGAAGACACAAGAAAGTTCTCGAAAGTGGAGATAAGGCCCATTCATTCTTCTTCTCTGAAATATGTCTGTACTTCTGTGTCTTTATCATTTCATAGTACAACATGGCTACCAAGTTTTGTATTCAGCAAACATAGCTCAAACATCCCTTAGGACCTCAAAAATGGGTCAACGATGAGCATCATGCTGAGTACTGTACCAGCTGTATGTATATTTGTGTGTGTATGTATGATTATGAATCATAGTGTCGAGGTATACAAGTATAATACTGTATATACATGCACATAGGAATATTAGTAAATACCATGTCTCCCTGTGTGTCTCTCTGTCACACACACACACATACACACACATGTATATAGACACAAACTCACTCAGATACACTTGAAAGGCTAAGATTACTTAATCACCATGTATTCATTTGACGACGAAGTGAATAATACTAACCAAACAGCATAATATCGGATATTATGGGTTCGAGAACACTTATCTTACTCATTTGTCTTCCACTTATATCATTTTTTATTATATTGGCAATTGTAATAGTCTGTTGCTTACGTTCACGGAAAAGTACCGGTAAGTTGTCTTCTACAAAAATCAATTTTCAACATACATATTGAATGATTCATTTACTATGCTCATCAATCCGTTTATATAGAATTGTAGGTAAATAGCTGTTTCAGAAATTCAGTTTATTACCTATGGCTGTTGTCACCTCGAACGAATAACCTATAAATTACCGATTCAGTATGCCACAAAACTCAACTACTAGCCAGATTTCACTTGCTTATATAAGTAATTTATCATGTAAGTCGCTTTCATGCAGCGAATTCCTTTCTCCCACATATACAGTATACGTGAATACTCGTGATTAGCGTCAGCAGTTTACAACTGCTTAAATCACTCAGTATTACTATTAATATTACCATTATTATCATTATTTGTCCCTTGGCTTCAGCAACACGTCTCCATTTCACTCTGTTCTCTGTAATCTTGTCAACCTGGCTCCATGACTGCCCACAAACATTCATTTATTCGGCACATGATCTCCTTCATGTCACCCTCGGATGCCAAACTCGTCTTTTCCACTTTGTATTCGACTAAACGGCCAGGCACGTGAAGTCTCCGAATAGTTTTCTCAGTGCATGTTCAGTCTAATCTGTCTCTAATTTCTTCTGCATAATTGTTGAGCGAGAGTTGCTAGGTTGGTTCGTTGCCAGAGTTCCTTGTTGCTTATTCTTTCTGGCCTTCACATCTGATTTTCAGTATGGACCGTGGGCTCCTGTTGGTGAATGTCTCCAGTTTGTAGGGAAGCCTTATCGTAAAGCGTCAAGCTTGTGAAACATGTAGAAACAGTGACCTGATAGTGGTGTTGAACAACCGGTTCACGTTCACCTTATATGCTTATAGCAGCAGATATCCGCATCGATAAAACATGTATGAAAACCGGTCCTAAATTTCCAGTCCTCGCTTTGACATCAACTATGACGCCGCTTCCTGTAGTTGAGACGACGCTGCCTAGGTAGGTAAGTAGGCACGTAGTTGAAAGAGAAAGCTTCCTTCAGATTTCTCCGTTCATGGTGATTGGTGCACGCTGTAGATGTTGTTGTTTTGGGTTGGGTATCTTCATCACCTCTATCTTCTCCACTTTAACCTGAAGCAACTTCCGTCTTTGCTGCCTCACTTCGATTTTCTGTTAACTTCTTAGTTTCCGTATGTACATATTCCAGTTTGTGCCACTCCAAACATCAGACACAAATCATCATGGGTGAAATCCAAATCTTTTAGGCTCTTTTATCGGTTAGTCAGAGTATGCCCATCGCCTCTCTCCTCACAGTTGTCAGTTGCATGATCCAGTCCACTAACTCAACTCAACTCAACTCCAGTCCAGTCCAGTCCAGTCGACCACAATCGGCAAGATCATCGGTGATGGTAAGCAACCTTGTCCTGTCTTACTCCTGTCTTCACTTCACTTCTCTCACTTCACCTCAGAGTCATCACTGAGCTTCCTTCCCATTGTGAATCACTCGACATGTAGCATCATCATCACATGGAATATAGCTACTGTTCAGAAGAGGTTGATAAGGGTTTGTGGCACTGAAACCCTGATGTTGAAGCATCTGCCTGCCAAATTACTTCTCGATAGACGCCTCCATTGAAGGCCTTTTCGATGTCGATGAACTTGAGGTACCGGTATAGTTGACTGTCGTTCTATACTCTGTTCGATAATGATGCATAGCGTAGTGTTGCAATTTCATTCACACATCACTTGTGCTTCCTGAAACCAGCCAGCAGGCCAACCAGCCTGTTCCGATTGTAATCGTGAATGCAGAGTACTCTTTTGTCTCTCCAGGATGATGTGGCTCAATATTTTGCTTGGTGTGGACATGTGCATGATTCCGCCCCAGTTCTTGCTCTTGCAAACACAAAGGTCCCCTTTCTTTGAGAGATTGACAAGGTAGTCCTTCTTCCAATCGGCACGTAACTTTACTTCCTTCCTCCCTTCCTCCCTTCCCCCCTTCCTCCCTTCCTTCCTTGCAAACCTTCTGCGATGGTGGTGTGATCATATCGGCTGTTACCTCTCCATCTGTTTTCAGTCCTCCTGGTGGAAGTTCATCTGGTCCTGCTGCTCTTCCGGATTTCAATAACTTTATGGCGTGGGATTGAGTACTTCTCCTTTTGTCGGAGGGTTTATGTTCACTGATAGTTGTGTGTGTGGGATGCTGTTGGTATTTCTGGACGAGTTGTATGCAGTTGGTGGTGATGGTGTTGGTGATGCTGGTGGTGTTGGTGTTGGTGAATTCAAGTGTTTTTCGATGCGATCCTGTTTTTTTTTCTTCTCTTTGTTAGCTAATTTTCCGTCGCTACATTTTACTGGTGTCATCTGTACTGTGTTGATCTCTTTCCAGATTGTAACGTTGTTTTTGGATATAATGTTGTCAGGTCTCTCCTACCTGAAACCTGTTACGCTTTTCTATTTTGTTTTTCGGAGTGGCACAAACTGGAATATGTACATACGGAAACTAAGAAGTTAACAGAAAATCGAAGTGAGGCAGCAAAGACGGAAGTTGCTTCAGGTTAAAGTGGAGAAGATAGAGGTGATGAAGATACCCAACCCAAAACAACAACATCTACAGCGTGCACCAATCACCATGAACGGGGAAATCTGAAGGAAGCTTTCTCTTTCAACTACGTGCCTACCTACCTACCTAGGCAGCGTCGTCTCAACTACAGGAAGCGGCGTCGTAGATGACGGCATCAAAGCCAGGATTGAAAAGACAGCAAGACAGGCCTTGTTGCATTCATCTGAAATCAGTGTGAAGATCTACTGCACTGCACTGCACTACGTTGCGCTGCATTCAGCAGAAACATCAACATCCGGATTTTCTATACGAATTCAATCAAGTGAGTTCTTCTATGTGATGGTTGAGAGACTTGGCGCGTTGCAATGAACATTTCCAACAAACTGCAAGCATACATGAAGAGCTACCGCATACGCTCGCTCCATGCTGAAGATGAGATTAGAAGGCTAGAAGTAATAAGCAGGGAGGAAGTATGGCGTGGCAGCGATCCAATCAACCACGAAGCTGTTGCCCAACAAATATGCAGAAGAAGAGAGTGGAGATGGATTGGATTGGATTGGATTGGCATACAGTGAGGAGACCGTCGGGCATCAGGCCAAGCCGTTGTGTGGAAGCGAGATGGGAAACGACGAGTTGGGCGTCGGATCTGAGGTTGAGATTGAGGAGATTGTGTGAGGAAGAAATGAAAGCTTCTGATCAGTGGTGGATAGAGGTTGAAAAGACTGGAGAGAAGAGTGTAAAACTGTGATATGCTACTGAAGCTCTATGTTTGATCGGGAACCTTAACGACCGTTATTAGTAATGATAATATTAAGAATGACGTAGGTGAATATGGTTACGTTTCATCTCGTTTGCCTCTGTGGTTTTGGAGCCATACGCAAGCGTACACTCACATACAGATGCACGCACTTCACAAATAGCGTTGTGCATATACTTACAACAGACTGTGAGCATCACCTCTGCTCAGACCTCGGTTGGTGTGTCTGGTTTTGATCTCATGGTTCATCAGTTTGAAACCAATTACCTAGGCTTACTGGTCACTGCTACTACCAGAAGCAGTAGTATAGCGTAAAAAGGGTGATCAGCCGATTGTAAAATTTGAAGTTGGCATTGAGTATGTACTGACATCCAAAATGATAGAAGTGGGAAAGGGTAGGCCATTGGGTTCCGATGTATTGGCCATAAAATCTGGAGGCTCTGAGCTCGAACCCTGAAGGGTCGTAGGTGAGCACTGCTGAGAACTCCCATGGCAGGAAGAAACAGATTTCCAGTGTCTCCAGGTTTCCAATGTTTCTCGAACTGGTATCAGTCCATAATAGTGAATACTACCTTATATTTATATCATACTTTCCAAGTTTCAGTTGACTTACTAGGAAAACTAATGAATTTATACCATTTCACCCTGAATGTATGCTTACAGTGTACTTTTTTGAGTACATTTTTGCTTAATTCACTCACCAATTGAGCAGAAGGGTGAAAGGATGGGGAAGGAGAGGGTGATTATTTGCAGTAAAGTGGTAATCCAACTACTGTCTAAGTTTGCATAAACTTTGAAGTGAAGTCGAAAGGTCTTGTAACAGAAATGTACTCAAATTAGTAAAGAAAACAATGGTTTTTTGGGAGATGTTGTGGTGTATGAATCGTCGGTACTGAGTGCAAGCTTTGGTGAGAGGCAGGTACAACCAGTTGATGAGCCCGAAACAGGACGAAACGCGCCTTCGGGATCCTACTGCTACCCACTATCCATAATTTTGTTCTTCTGTTTAAGGAACGATATGGCAAAGAAAAATCCTCTTAAGCCAACTGTTCATAAACATAGCTGGGTTGGGTTTTCTGTAGATTGACTGACTAATTTCATGGTTGTTCTGTTTTGTTACGGGCTGATGTCCTTAGAATGGACTGACAGTCCATGATGAATAACGCTTATAAATTAAAAATCCCCAATCACCTCAGAAATAGGAATTGTGAATGCTATCCTTATTCAAAAGGAATGAAGCCAACCAATCAGAATGAGCCGATAAAAGTAATAACCAACCAATCAGCGTTGTCCGGTCAGAGGTCAATGTAAAAAGTCTGTTATATGGATTCTGAGTTCAAAAATTTACCCAATCTCATTACAATTTGACAAACATTCAGAATAGTTAACGTCAGTAATACTTATGGGATCCTGGACATTGGGATTAGGAGCATGTGGACTTATTATCACGATACTCGTCATCTCATTGATAGTTTCATGTTTGTTTTCTCAAGCTGAACCGATTGAAGGTGAGTCAGACAACTATGGATAAGTATGCTGAAAACCCGTTTTATTCCCATATCTGCATTATTAATCGTTGTTTGGTTATATTTGATAAGTGTCCTTGGGCTGAATACATTAGGTAGGTTTCGCCCCTCCTGGGACTCATCAACCGAAGAATATCGGCAAAAAATTGTGTCCAGAGGAGAATGACCAATCCAAGTCTTCAAATAGCATCAGGTTTTGATTAAAACGAT